AAGCAGCGTTTGTGAGCTAAGCGCTGCTTTGTGTGCAGCCGTTACTGGGGAAACCTCTGTTTCTCCCGCTTTAAAGCACCTCCTGCTGGCAGAGAATGAATTTGCATTTTCAGCAAGTCCGTCTGATTTACGCAGCAAACATATTTTGCTTATCAAAAATAATCTACTCTAGAGGGACTACTTAGCTGCTGTTATTGATTCTATTTGGAAGTCTACCGGAAGTTAAGTTAGGGCCACAAAAGTGCGCATGCGCAATAACGTTTGTTTGTTATTGCCGTTGAAACCATCTATATACACATTAAATATTAAATAAACTTGTTTTTCAAATACAGTAGGTTTAACATGTATACTTCAGTTAACATCTTTTGTTGTTTGATTAACATTAATGAGACAGACAGGTATTTAATTAGGTTAATGTCCCTTTAAGACCGAATTAATATAATATACTGACACATATCCGGTTTTCACCCACTCGTTTACGTTCACTTAAGCCATAACCGACTGTATTTTTCGTGAGATACTCCACACGATCGACATTTTGACAGCTGTGTGTGTATTTAACAATTAAGGCGCAGGCAGAACTTGGTTCGCACGGGCGCACGGCCGAGACAGCGCTTCTGTGTGCCTATCTATCCCGCCTTCACTTATGCCGAGTTCACACTGCACGATTTTCAAAGACGTCGCATCACTGTTGGTTTCACACTGAACGACTATCTGGCTTAGCATTCAGCTGTTGCTGTGTTCACACTGCACGATTGAACGACGACAGGAGGTTACACACTGCATGACTTTACAATAGGAAGAATCGCCGACAGCTCTGTCTGGTGCAGGGTTGCCAGGTTTTCGCTACAAAACCCGCCCAATTACTACTCAAAACTAACCTGAAAATAGCCCAATGGCTTTCGAGGGGGTCCCCCAGTAAAAATCGTAAAATACACATTTCCATACACGCCGCAAACTACGTTTCATATAACTCCTCCTCGAACTTCCCGCTGCCCTGTATCTTGGTCTCTCATTGGCTGTATACGTCATCGCCGATGTGTTTTTCAGTCAGAACTCATTTCACACAGCGAGATTGTGAATCGCCGACAGCTCCAGATATTTAGCATGCCAAATATTTCTGGGGCGTCGGCGACGCATCGGCGATTCCCTCAGATTGCGTCTTTTGCCGAGTTCACACTGCACGATTTTCAAACTCGTCGGATCGCCGTTGTTTTCACACTGCGTGACTATCTGGGGTAGCATTCAGTTGCTGCTGTGTTCACATTGCACGATGGATCCCCAAGATTTTTACAAGTGGAAATGTACGTTTCTGGTAGAATGTCCGCATTTTTGATTAGGCTGTTCTCGCGTGACAGAACACTTCTACTACTCGATCACCCAGTCTTAAAGAAATTTTGAAATACGGGACAAAACATGATTTTTTCAAAATAAGTCGGGACACTAAAAAAAAAGAGCTGAAATACGGGACGTCTGGACACCCTATATATGTTAAATACAACCCAGTGCTGGGTAAAATAGGGACAAACCCAGCAATTGGGCTGTTTTGACCCAGTGGTTGGGTTACTACCCAGAAGGTTGGGTTAAACATTTAACCCGACCGCTGGGTCCAAACAGCCCAATTGCTGGGTTTGTCCCTATTTAACCCAGCACTGGGTTGTATTTAACCCAGCATTTTTTAGAGTGTAATTTTATCATTTATTCATTCATTAGTATTCCAACAGGCTTACATGTTATTATTGTCATACATTTGCAATAATAATACCAAATACATTTAAATCATTTTAATAAATCATCATTTCAATATGTTTAATTTAATCTTAAAGACGGTCGGTTACAGATAATGATAATGAGCTGTTAATGCACATTCACAAAACCAATGTGAGGGGGGGGGAGTTGTTTTAAAACAATGAAAGTGATGCAGCTTTGTCACTAACAGTTTTTTTTTTCTTTCTCAAATGCAACTCTACAGGGGATTTGGAAAACAAGGTTTCCAGTGCCAAGGTACTGTGTGTGTGTGTGTGTGTGTGTGTGTGTGATGATTCTATCACTGATGCATGTGCTCATGTCCTGAGCTTTACCAGGGTTTACTACTCTACTACACTACATCAGGGTAGATGAGGACGTTCAGTACAATCATGTTCAGTTTATTTCATAATTGTGGATGAAATAGGAACACATAATCTGGATAATAATGTGTTAAGTACTGGCCTTGTTGACTGGTTTTTGTAAAGGTCTTTGGCAAATTTGTTTAAGTCTTGGCTCTGCCATGTCATTGTTGGCTTCTGATAAATAGCAGGTCCCAAATACGAAAGGGTTTTGAAGAACACTACGTGGCTGTAAGCTCTATGTCCAGTTTTGAATGTCCAGAATTTCTATGTCCACAATTCTGTGCTTCTGTTCTGAAATTACAACATCCTTGTGAAGAACTCGACCGTCTTGCACAAAACCCAGACTTGAACCCCAGTGAACATGAATGATGATGAATGATGAGTTAGAATAGGAAGCCAGAGTCAAGCGCTTGACCTCAGCTAATAAGATGGTTGTCACTAACACTGTATCCCAAAGGTCTACCGGTCATTAGTTAGCTTTGCATCTGATACGAAGATTACAAATAAGGATATAAGAAGTGCAGAAAGTTTGTAGCTGAAGGGTCTAAGGATCCTTAAATGCAAACTGTGTGTGTTGCATCAAGAGTGTTTGTGTTGTGTTTTTATTTTCTTGTTTTTATTTAATTTATAATCCATTTATTCATATAATCATTCATAATCATTAGTCATTTATATAATTTATTATTTGATTATTTTTTATCATTTTACCATTTATATCAATGATTCCTTTATTATTTGTATTATGTTTTAATATTTTATATTTCTTATTATTTTTCTTGCTTATGCATTTTCATTGTTCAATCTCATGATTGTGGGGTTTCATGAACTGTTTTGTCTGAATGAGTAAGAGATAAGAGGGAATGTTTATGGAAATCCAAGGTTTATGGGATGTTGTGAATCAGTTGATATAACATTACTTGTTCAATTTGTGTTCGTCAGACGAAGTCTGAGCATTGAGACATACGCAACTAAGACAGCAACTAAGATTGCACAAATAAGATTGTGCAACTAAGATTGTACAACTAAGACAGCAACTAAGATTGTACAAATAAGATTGTGCAACTAAGATTGTTCTCTGTTCATTTTTTTTAATCATCATCACTTCGTCTCCTGCTTCTGCTCTTCTCTGGTTTTACTCAGTCAACTTCTTGGCTGATAGAAGACTGTTAAACATTCGTTTTGGGTATTTTTGGGTACCAGACAAGACTTGCTGTTAACAGGTTTTGGGTATCGACAGCTCTGCCGAATAGTTGTTCTGTTACCAGACAAAACTGATAATTTCTGACAGGATCAGGCATCCGGGACTGGATCTTAATTATTTTGGCATGGAGTCTCGATCTATCATAGCTTTAGACAGCTGTAGCTTCTTTAAAAATTAACTGGCATAAAGCCATTCCAAGCAGGTCTAAAGAAAAAGATGCCAGGTAAGCAGTCTTAATTCTCAAGTTCCCTGCACTATTAGACCGTGTCCTAACCAGGTGTGACAAATCAAGCAGTTTGTCTCTGCACACTGAAAGTGAAGTGCTGTGTAATGTGACAGCAAATCAAATCATATTTGATGTTTAATATACAGTTATATATGCAGTGAAATGGACATCTCATCTGAGATTTCACTCAGGTCAGGGCCGACCAGTGCAACACTCCTGAAATTGAAGTGGCCAACAAAACGAGTAAAACTAACATTGCTTGTCCATTTCTACTAAACTTCACCCGTCCCCGAGATTTTAACACTATTTAGAGCAGGGGTGTCAAACTCAGTTCCTGGAGGGCCAGAGCCCTGCAGAGTTTAGATTCAACCCTAATTAAGCACACCTGATCCAACTAATCAAGTCCTTCAGGCTTAGTTGAAAACTATATGGTATGTGTGTTAGAGCACGGTTGGAACAAAACTCTGCAGGGCTCCGGCCCTCCAGGAATTTAGTTTGACACCCCTGATTTAGAGTAACGGTCTCCAATCCTGCTTCTGGAGAGCTACTGTCCTGCAGATTTCAGCTCCAACCTCAGTCAAACACACCTGAAACACCTAATCAGGGTGTTCAGGGTTACTTGATACTTACAGACAGGTGTGTTGGAGCAGGGCTGGAACTGAAGTCTTTAGGATGGTAACTACATTTCGCAACCAAACACACGCCACAATTGATACGGGAAATAACGTAAAAATCACGCGAGAGAGGCGTTTTTGTGCAAGAATGGATTTATTTCTGTCAAAAACGGTACCACGCAAAAAGCTTGCTATCCAAGTAGTCTGTGCAATGATTTGCAGTGAAAAATAAAACATAAACAAAGAAGAATATGAAGGAGAGAAGGGTTGCTTGCTGATGTTGCAGGTCTATTATGACTCCTCCCCCTGAACTTTCCCTTGCCCTGTATCTTGCTCTCATGCATGGTATTAAAAATAAAAATACAAAATTAGGGCTCAGCACCCGTAAAATCATATCAGTACTTAAAAGGGGAATCTTTTCATCTTGGCTCTTGAGAATCATTGAGCTGAACTACAGGATGAGACAAGAGCTGGCAGACTCAGATGGTCACAGATGGCAAAGGTATTTTGTGTATTGTCCTGTCAACTGGACATTTGCCATGGAAGATGGTCAAGTTTTTGAGGATGTGTGGGTACATCAGTGAATATATTTCCAAAGACCTCTGCAGTGTTGGACCAGACACATACTTTACATAAGTACATAAGAGTGAATGGCTGGCCAAAACATTGTAAGCATGCGGTCCTGATGTACATGCTTAGCATGCATTCCTTAGTCCTATTGGGATTTCACAGGACTTTTTTTTCTGTTTTATGCAGTCCAAAATGCTTCAGCTCTTCTCAAAAATGCTGATGATATTTGCAGCATTTTATAATGACAAGAAAACTGAACGCATATTGAATTTTTTTTTTTAGACTTGGAATTATATATTTTGATTAGCTAAAAATGCTTTCCCACCTCAGAAAATGTTTTTTTTTTTTTTTCTAAGAATAAGACAAGAATGCAAACTGTCGCAAATGATGTGATGATTGGTTGAGTTTGCATTAATTCTTGCAAACACAAAAACCCTGGAGGGACTAGAATTTCTGCTTTAGTGTGCTGGTAACAAACTTCATTACAAAGGAGGGCAGCAATAAAGTTTCCCTCAAATATCTGTGCCATCGTCAATAGTGATGTCCACAGCTCACACAGAAATCACTTTCAAACCAAGCAGCTTTCTGTTGGTCAGCTTTTTGTTTGCGTGACCAACTTGAACATGAGTGAACTTTTTTGCCGTCACGTGAAACTCCCGAACACACAGATTCAAAATGAAATGTCAGCAAAGTGCCCACAAAATTGTGCAGAGCAACAGTAAATTTGACCGCACCTTTAGTGCAATTATCAGATCGGAAAGAGACTGTGATTTAGTCTGATGCACTCTGTGTTTCTGAGTGAAACATGGCATTGTGTTTATTTACAATGGCTACGTTTACATGCAACCAAATAATCCGTTTGTAATCGGATTGACAGCTCAATCGGACTGAAAAGCCTTCATGTAAACACCTTAATCGATCCGATTGAGCTCGATCGGAATGAAATTTCGATCGGATTGAAGGGGGTGGTTTATTCCTTTTCTAATACAATTGAGAGTGCATGTAAACACTTGATCGGATTGAACCCCGAAACTGAAAGGACTGCGCATGTGCAATGACTTAGAAATAGCGTAATGACGTATGACGCGCAGAACGAGCGCTTCTTTCCTTTTGAATAAAGTGTTGTATAAATGCGTGCCCTGTCATAATAAAACTCTCCTTTCACTCGGCAACTGTGAAGTGGAGCAGGACAACCTCCCACCAGTCCTTGTTTTGGATTATAATCTACAGGCAACCCATTTTGGGCGCGGGGAGGGTCATTTTTACTGTGTGATAAATATGAGCAGCACGGCACAGTTGATAAATATTAATTCTGCTGTTAAAAACAAATAAAGAAAGGAGAGTGGTTATTATGTGCAAACCGTGAGAAACTCTCACAAATATTTGTGCAGTCTGTGCATGTAAAAAAAAAATCAATTCCGATTTGAAGCTTGTGACATATAAACACGCACATCAACCCGATTACTTTATTTAGCGTTCATGTAAACACTACATTCAGATTCATCAATCGGAATGAATTCAGTCCGATTGAACCAAAAATTGTGCATGTAAACGTAGCCACTGTGTTCTGGTGTTTTCAGTAGTGGAACGGCTCTGTTCGCAGTAAATGCTGCTCCACACAAACACCATCTCTGCTGTGCACCTCAGTTAAACTCTGCACGAAATCAAAAATGACACTATTTAATCTTTAATTCCAATCCAATTCGAAATCTGAAAATTTAGCTGCGAGCAAGAGATGGCAGAGAGATGCTGTAAAATAAAACCCCGCCCTCTAATCAATATTCCGTTTCATTTGGAAATACATCACAATGCTGAAGTTGGTAGCATTTGGTAACTTGCATTTGGCAATGCAATGTGCGCCAGGATCACTTTATTTTCAACATTCCTGTGTACATTGTCTTCGGCATTTTCCAAATGTGTGCACAAATTTTGCTTGCTTGCTATTAATGCCATTATATAACTCACTTTGGAATATAAGTTGCAGCACTTCTCAGATGATGAAAAACATGACATATTGCAGAAAAGATGGTACTTATGTAATAGTTCATTTATGACTTTAAGCAACTGAGTTGAATTGTACATTTTGAAACTCAGCGAGACATGAAATCAGTGCTACGTAGCACAAACGTAATGGAAGTCAGCCTACAAGCAAACATTGAGGTGAAAGTCCCTTAGAGCTTTTGGCGAGCACGTCATGCGACCCTGTCATAACTGCTTCCTGTTTCCAAGCACCTACCACATGGTTACAAAGTCTGAGTCCTTAATTAAGTGTCATTGCAGTC